CAAGTACTTGTCCAGATGAGCAGTGTGTGAATTCTCCTGGATCTTACCAGTGTGTTCCCTGCACAGAAGGATTCCAGGGATGGAATGGGCAGTGTGTTGGTAGGTATTGAGTGTTTTTTGTCATAGTTTTATTGCTTCTGTCTAGCCTGTTTTCTAACAGAGTGGTGTAATACCAAGTGAGCCCTCTTTCAAACTGAAACACACACACACACACACACACACACACACACACACACACACACACACACANTTGGAGATTTTACAACAAGTTGAAGATGGAAGACCAAACTGTGCATTTTTGCCATATTTTACTGTTTTACTTCCATAAAGGGAAGAATGTACATCAGGCTTGTGAAAAGTTTCATAAAGTTTATGGTGACAATGCTCTACAAGAATGTCAGTGCCATCGATGGTTCACGAAATACTGTGCTGGTGATTTTGATCTCAACGATGCTCCTCAATCAGGGAAGCCCACCAAGGTTGATGACAACAAAATAAAGGCATTGATCGAGTCAAACCCACGTTACATGACACAAGAGATTGCAGAAACATTGAACATCCATCATTCAAGCATTCACAACCACCTGAAGAAGCTGGGATACGTAAGCAAGCTCGATATTTGGGTTCTGCATGAACTCAAAGAAGTTCATTTAAAGGCGCATATAAACATCTGCAATATGCTCATTAAACGTGAGGAAAGCGATCCTTTTTTTTTTTTAGCTGAGCCATCCCGCCACCTGTTGGCAGCTCACGGCTGCTCGGCTTGGGCTGACTCGAACCACTGTTGCTCAGAGCTCAAACTCTTGAGCGAGCTCTTAACCAACTGAGCCACTCAGCCGGCCCCAGAAAGCGATCCTTTTTTGAAGCGACTGATAACTGGTGATGAGAAGTGGATTGTTTACAACAATGTGGTGTGCAAACGGTCTTGGTCCTGACATGATGATTCGCCTTAAACGACATCGAAAGTGGACATTCATCAGAGGAAGGTTATGCTCTCAGTGTGATGGGATTTTAAAGGCGTCATGTTTTTCCAGCTCCTACCAAGGAACCAAACAATCAATTCGAATGTGTACTGTCGGCAATTGGACAGTCTGAACGAATCCATCATCCAGAAATGTCCAGAGCTTGTTAATTGTAAAGGAGTTGTGTTCCACCATGACAATGCGAGACCACACACAAGTTTGATTGCCCATCAAAAACTATTGGAGCTTGGATGGGATGTGTTGCCACACCCACCATACTCGCCTGACCTTGCACTGTCAGATTTCCATTTGTTTCGCTCTCTTCAAAACTTGCGTGGTATAACGTTCACTTCAGATGAGGCTGTAAATCAGGACTTTGTTCAGTTTTTCACAAATAAAGACAGGTCCTTTTATGAATGAGGAATTACGAAGCTCACTGAAAGATGGCAAAAGGTTATCAAACAAAACGGGCAATATATCATTGATTGATCTTTGTCCTTTATATAAATAAATGCCCTTTGAAAAACATAGACAAAACACATCATGACTTTTCCAAAGACCCAATACAAAACCTCGCAATTTTGAAGCATGTCAAACAAACCGAAGTGACGATAGATCCTAGGAATCAGTTGCTTCCTTCTTAAATGCTCACTCACCTGGGAGATGCGAGAGGTTTGGAATGATATCTTAGGGAATAAAACTTGGCAATCTTTTCTGCTTTCTGTAGATGTCGACGAGTGCCTAAGGCCCAATGTGTGTGGGGAAGGGCACTGCATCAACACCGTGGGGGCCTTCCGGTGCAAATACTGTGACAGCGGATACCGCATGACTCCCAGAGGACACTGTGAGGGTGAGTCTGCTGAGAGGACAGGAGACTGGACCCCCTGCTGAGTGCCATGCAGTGCAGGGCTGGGGGTGTGGGAGGGCAAGTCTGGTCGGCCCCTCTGGTACTTGCTTTCCTTCACTAATCTGTGCATGACACCCACTCCTCCAAGCTTTTCCTGCCTTCTGGGATCACAGCCTCTTTGTCTCACTTCCATGGCTCTTGTCTGGATTATTTTCCATCTTCATGCTTTGTCTTACCCATTTCCGTATCTTCCTTCCCTGGTATTTCAAGTGAAATCACGTTAAAGCAATTAATTGCAGAGTTAGTACGAGCCCAATACAGCATCTGGATTATTCGTCTGGGGACATGATGCAGATGGAACCCCTGTTGATTTTTAGTGTTTGACCTTTTCGCCTTGTTACGACGTTCCTTTGTCTCAACTTTTTTCTTTGACATATGTTCTGGGGCTCGCTTGCAGACTCTCGACAGAAGCAGTGTCTGACCAACTCCAGGTCAAATTCCAACTGTGCGAGATAAAACTTCTTTATTTTGACCCAAGCAGTGAGTTCCCCCGTATTATAAAAATGTGTTGAAGAGTTTTTATAGCATGGCCCAAATGATTAACCATTTAATATTTCTGCTCATGTTTGTGTCCAAGTTACACACACGTTCTTTTTGAAACCATCATGGTACTTTTAAAATAATTATTTTCAGGAAGAAACACACTAAAATTCTGCTGAAATCCTGCCATGGAAGCGTGAAGGAAAGGAGCAGGGGCCTCTGAGCACGGTTTTGAGGAGCCTGGATGTGGGGCTCCTGCTGGTTCCATGGGGCTCCCTGTCTGGCTGCCTAAGGGTCAGCCTCTTTTCTAACATGGCTGGGCTTCGAGAGTGGAGGAGGGATGCTCTCAGCTGTCCCTTGGCTTCTGCATGTTGGTTTTCTTCACAGTTCTGATGACCCAAGCCTGGAGGGAGAGCTCATTAGATGTTTTTTGGCAGCCTGTACCTGCCTTCTCTGCTGGCCTCTTGCCTTGGCCCCTTTGGTTCTAATCTAGAAAGAAATGGGAGCAGTTTATGTGACTAGATCTCTGACCAACTCGGATCAGAACGGAGCTAGGAACTGCCCTGACAGCTGAAGGCCATGGTACAGTGCAGGTGTGACATGTCCCCAGTGTCCTCTTCCAGGGACCTCTCCCTCTGCTCTGGAGAGGCAGCATGGAAACGAGCGAACAGGGACTATGGCATCAGCTCACGACCCCCACACTTCATGACTGTCTGCCTCGGAGCCAGCCACTTAGCCCCTTCGAAACTTAGTTCTTCAATTTATACAATGGGAACCATGACGTTAACTCTCAAGGTTGCCATGAAAATAAATGTGTTTGCAGTACCTTGTACGGTACCTGCTCCATTATTAGTTCTCAAAACATGTTAGTTTCTTTAAGCCTCCCCCTTCCATGACTGCTTTTGTTCTTGTACAGTACATGTGTATTTTGAGGAATATTTTTAAAGCAGGGAGGGCGGTTGGTGGGCATTATCTAACAAGCATTTATGTGCAAAGCAGCACTTCCCAAAGAGATCAAATACAGATCCTTCAGTTCTACCTAGAATCTCAGGATGGGAAGAGAAGATATTTAATAATTATAGCATAAGGATGGAAAGTGGAAAGGAGTAGAAAAGAAATTCAAACATTAAAGAAAGAGAAAACAGGAGACTCTTCAGTAACATTCAGTGCATGCAAATTTTTTAACAGAAATATTACCAGGTTTCCATGAGTCAATAATATATAATTCTATTACTATGAAAAGGCTTGAAAAGAAGAAAGAGCCAAATAACGTGGCTGTTTTCTAATTTCGTCATGGACCACAACCAAAGGTCCCTGGGCCTCTGGCTCACTGAAGGTTTTCTCAGCTGTCACTAACAACGTTGCTTTCAAACAGCGCCAGTCTCCAAGGAGCCTATTGTAGTTTATAGACATTATCTCATGTCTCCTTACTTTATTCTGTTAAGATATTACCAGTCAGGTAGGCCTTACTTTGTAGATGAAGGAACAGCAAACAGAGGTGAGAGCTGCGGGAAGTTCAGAGATGTTCTCTTGTGTTAACTCAGCATTGTTCCTTATTTATCAGACCAGCCTATCTCAGTGACCTCCTCTGACTTAACAGTTGTAGTTCTACTTAAAAAAAAATATCCAATTCAGAGACTAATGTAATGCTGTTTGGAAAATGAAACTGGCAAGCATCATCTATTTTTGTAGAACAAGAAGTCCCAGAGCATCTGACCTAAAAAAAAAAAAAGAAAGGGAAAAATAAAACAAAACACCACTGTGTGTCATTGTCTATTGGCAAGAATTTTTCGCTGATAGGAAAGAAATGACAATGCTGACCAGGTGTTTCTTCTGTTGACATCATCTTAAGCTTTTTTACTCTATAAACATCTTTTCACACACATGTAGTGATCTATAATAGATAATTTCTGAGAGTTTCCCAGAATGAAGACATCAAATGNTCTTAGCTGTGGAGGGCAGTGTCACTGGCCCTCATATGTGGGATCCGAACCGGGGCCCTCTGGCATCCCAAGCCAGTTCTTAACCATCGCACCACTCAGCTGGCCCTTTTTTCTGTTTTTTATTGCAAAAATGTGTCATGATTTTTCTGACAACCCAATATAATATGCTCATGATGGAACTGGCAAATTAAAAGTAAAGTTACATCACAAGTTTTGCTTTGATTAGAAGTGGTAGGTCTTAAGAATTAATGAGAAATTTTGGAGAAGGTTGGACCTAGTTGTTGGAACTTGAAGTTGACCTGCTAACGAATAGAAAGGTACCATATATTTCTTATCAGGACAAATCATATGAAGATTCAGTTTTCTAAGATTAACTGGGGTGGTAGAAACTCATTGACTGACCATCTCAGAAGTTAGGAAGTATTAATCATTTTACAACTCCAACATGGCCTTGTTGAGAGTTTCCACCCACTCTAGTTCATCTTAGAAGTTGTTTCATTAGGCAGTATTGATGATGTTGGGTGGGCCTACCGGAACAATTATAAAGTAATCAAATGAATTTATACTTGATTTTAGAGATCAACTTTTGTTTTCTAATTGCATCGCCGGCAATAAGCTAATCAGGAAACAGAAAGTAATGGTTTACAAGTAGCAATGAAGTCTTTATGTTTATATCTGTTTTCTCTCCCACGTTTATTTATTTTAAAGAAATCAATGAATGTACTGTGAACCCTGACATCTGTGGAGCAGGACACTGCATTAACCTGCCAGTGAGGTATACCTGTATATGCTATGAGGGCTACAAGTTCAGTGAGCAGCAGAGGAAGTGTGTTGGTAAGAGATACTTTTGATAGATGAAATGATTAAATATCAAACATTTGCATATTAAGAACTTTTTTTCTGTAATTATGGGGAAATGTTACTGTGTTTAATATTTTAAAATTTTTAGTCCTGAGCTCAGGGTACTCAAAAAGAAGTTTACTAAACTCCTGGGATGTTCTTTCCTCTTGGCTTAGTACTGCCTACTACCTTGCCAAGTATCATACAATTACATAAAGGTGAAATAATTTCCAAAAGTTTTTCAGGTAATGTATATAAAATAGCTCTAGAAATAGGGTACCTATAAACATTTATTTAGCAAAACCAAATTAATATATGCTGCAATAAAGAATTATATTCATCCAAATGTATAAAATCCAATTTCTATTAGGCATTTCTAAATTGAAAATCAATATATGCTGACACAAAGCTATCAGTTTATAAACAAGGGACCTCATCTATACTTCTTTGGAAAAACATATCTCAGGAAGAGGTATAATAGTGTTAGGTAAATCCTTTTACTGTGTTAACACTAAATTTATTTTTTTTAAACTAAGGGTTACAAGGTGAATATAAAACAACAAAGGCATGTAGCTAATTAATACTACTTTAATAGGCTAAATGCCATTAAACAAGGGTGTGACTTTTGCTGTTTGGTTTTGTGTATATATGGGGGGAGGGAGTAAGGGAGTATCTACCTGTTCATAATATGGCTGTTTCTCTTTCATTTGCATACATTGAATGCATTATTAGAACCCTAAAGTATAAAGTTGACAAGGGCAATCAGAACAATCTAGTCTAGCTCTACCTGTGTGCACAATGGAAGAGTCCCTTTCATGACACCTCTGACTGTCCCTGCTCTGCCGGCCTGGGAGTGGCACAGCAAATTGCAGCACTTAAATCACTCCAGTTAAGGCAGATCCCTCTGTGTTGACCTGAAATGTCTCTTTAAAACACCAATGTCATGGTTGTGGTTTTAGCTTTTGAAACACTGCACAATGGGTATTCCCTCTTCCCAGTCACAGCTTTTCAACTATTTGAGGAGAACAATCACATCTCCTTTGACTGTTTTCTTGGTTGTAAAGGCGTGTGGGACACGGAATAGTATGCTGGTATTTCAGGAACAGGAAGATGGAGAATTTTATGCTACAGCACACTAATCCTTTCATCTGTAATTTTGTTAACAGATATTGATGAATGCACTCAGGTCCAACACCTCTGCTCCCAGGGACGCTGTGAAAACACGGAGGGAAGTTTCTTGTGTATTTGCCCAGCAGGATTTATGGCCAGTGAGGAGGGTACTAACTGCATAGGTAAGGACAGTGTTCTTCCTGATGTATAAATTCCCAGATTGAGTTTTCACGTCCCCTAAGATCCCATCAGTTCCATGCTTATTCGGACACCCCAGAATTTTTTTATGAAACACCTGCTATGACATAGTAATCTGCTAGATATGGAAAGATATAAAAATAGAATTTTTTTCTCCGACACTTTTGAACGAAGAGTGTCCGAGTGTGTACAAAGACCAGAGGTGTTAAATGTGTCTTTTGGCTCCAACAATATATTGGGTCTTCGGAAAAGTCATGACGCATGTTTGCAACAGATGGCACTGGTTCATTTTTGGAAGTACTAGAGTAATTTGCGTCTATGTTATTGCCATGTCATTTGACAGCTAACAGTTCTAGCTTCATTCTAAAAAAAATTTGAGTGACTTGGTTGAGGTTTGGAGATTTTACAACAAGTTGAAGATGGAAGACCAAACTGTGCATTTTTGCCATATTTTACTGTTTTACTTCCATAAAGGGAAGAAT